GAGCACACCACCATTCCCCTGAGTGCAGCTCTCCCCTTCCATGTGGGGCCTCTTCAGAGAGAACAGGGTGTCTGCTGCAGGTGAGCAACTCTCATCTCTGCATCCAGAAACAGGGCAGCAAGAAGGCTGTGGTGCCAGTAAGACCACAGGCTGTCCTTACTGACAGCAAAGGATCCTCACACACTCCGGGAGACAGCATGGACAGGAAATGCATAGAACACCCATGGGTCTGGAGGGATGGCCACCAAACTGTTAACTGGCTGCATGTGGGTGGGTTACATTCAGGGTAATCCCCCCCACCCCCCTTTATGTTTCGACTCAGCAGTAATGAACATGTAAAAGCAGCTAGCTGGGCAGGCATTTAGTAAACATATCCTATGCCGGGAGGTCCTGAGGAACAGGCTATAAGTGGAGGCTGCATCCCCTATAACAGGCTGCAGCCACCACTGAGGCCAGACTTGAGGTTCCGTCTCTACACCTGTTAGGGTGCCTCACCTGGAATCAGAACCTTCATCTGTAAACCACACATTTTTGTGGAGGATGAAACACCACGCACCTGTGGTGCCACGTGCTCTGAGAGTAGTGGCCCCTGTTACCAACACATGCTTTCAGGGCCCAGGGGATGCCCTTGGTTCAGACAGAATCTGCTGCCCTTGTTTGTAGAGAAGGGAGGCACACCTTGAAGCCTCCTTATCCTGGGTGGGAGAGGAAAGTGCTGACAGAGCCCAGTGCTCAGGAGGCCAAGGCCAAAGACCCAGAAGGAAGTGTCCCTCCCCCACTACTGGAGGCAGGCAGGGTAAAGAAGCACACCTTTAGGGCAGATGAGAAAACACATTTATTTGGAAAGTAATAGTTTCAAAATTCTCTTCCAAACCCAGCCATGGGCCAGGTGGAGCCCCTATGCTAAACAGGTAAAACATACCAATCCTTCACTTTTACTAAGGACAATTGTGAATCAACTTGCTTGTGCAAGTGGCAAAGATCGAATTCTTCTGACAAAAACACTCCCACTGACATCACCTACCAGCTTAACTCATCAGGGAGGCTGCCAGGGCCAGGAATTGGCCCCCAGAGAAATTGTGGAGGGAAATCTGAAAAGCACTGGGCTTCCTTTGCACATTTTGACTTGGATCACTGACACCCTAGATCTGCCCAGCTCCCAATTTTCAAGCCAGCCTTTTGAGTATTTAGTTAACAGCCTCTCTGCTCTTCCTAAGGGGCCATCACGCCTCCTCTGCTGTGGTCTCTCCCTGAGGACAATCCTCTTGTCCACCACTGGTCTTGAGTCTCTGTAAACCACACGGTTGTGTGGAGGGCCGCCTTCCTTGAATTGATGCACAGCGATCTGATCAAATATATTTAAAGTGATTTCTCATCAAAGGATTGTAATAATTCTGCCCTCTCCTGAAAACTGCTATAAAGTGAGGGGGCTTTATAGAAACTCAGTAATTGGGCCTTTCCACCTTAAACTTCATGGTGAGGACCCCGTCTATGCCAGCCTCGATTTCGTCGTTCTCTTCCACGGGCCCGACTCCCTTTGGCGTCCCGGTCAAGATGATGTCGCCTTCTTCCAAGATCATGACCTTGGAGACGTAGCTGATGATGTAGGGGATGGAGAAGATCATGGAGGACGTCTCCCCCTCCTGCCTAAGTTTGCCGTTAACCTTGAGCCAGAGGCGCAGCTGGTGCGGGTCGGGGATCTGGTCCTTGGGCACGAAGGCGCTGACCGGGCAGGAGGACGTGAAGCCCTTGGCCAGGGTCCAGGGCAGCCCCTTCCTCTTGCATTCCTCCTGCACGTCCCTGGCAGTCATGTCCAGGCACAAGGCGTAGCCGGCCACATAGTCCATGGCCGTGGCTTGGGGCACCGCGCGGCCGCGCCGGCCCAGCACCACGCCCAGCTCCAGCTCGTGGTGCAGTTCGCGGCTGTGCGGCGGCAGGAGGATCGGGGAGCCCTCGGGGGCGTAGGCAGTGGACGGCTTCAGGAAGAGCACCGGCTCGCTGGGCACAGCGCTCCGCATCTCGCGCGCGTGCTCCGCGTAGTTCCGGCCCACGCACACGATGTTCTTGCCCCACTCCCAGAAACGGGACAGTGGCCTGGGCGCCGCCATGGCGTTTGCGGGCAAAGGGGCACGCGCCCCGAGTCACGTGGGCACGCCGGCGCTACGGCTGCCCCGAGGGGTCACAGCACCTCCAACCCGTCCTGTCGGCCCGTCCGTCGGATCTGCGCTTGACCTCCCGGGAGCCGCTGTCCGGGGACTGCCTCGCTGCTGCCCGACCCAGGGAGGCCGGTGTGTCCCCAGAAGCCAGCGGAGGTTAGCTGGCAGCTCTCGGGGAGCTGACGCCGCTTCTCAGACTCTGGCAACCAGGTCCGGCGGGCCGGCTGCGGGTTCGACCCGCGCACTGGGGGCGGGGCCTAGTGGATTGCTTGTTGGGGGCGGGGCCAATATCGCGGCCGAGGATTGGCGAGTCTCAGAGAAGGAGGTGCTCGCGGCCACTGATTGGCGGGGGGCGGGGTGGCACTCGCGGCCGCAGATTGGCGAAGGGCAGAGTGGGCGGGGCGAGCGCGCTTACTGGTTGGGTGGGGCGGGACGGCGACTACTGGTTGGCTGCGCCGCGCCTGCGCCGGGCGTGGTCCATCCCCCCAGCTCGCGCTCGCCGTCCCGGTCATGGTGCTGGGCCGCGGGCTGTTCGGCCGCCGGAGCGTAGCTGTTCTGGGAACGTACGCTCGCCGCAGCCTGGGTAGGTGACAACGGGCGAGGGGCGCGGTACCAGCGCGGAGGCGGCGGGCCTGACAGGGCGCTGTCGGGCCGGACGCGAGGTCCCACGGCAGGGCACCTAGCGCAGCCCCCGGGGCAGAGGTCTCTGCAGAGGCGCGCGGTCGGGCGGCTCGCCAGGCTCCGGCTCCTGGAAGCGGCCGCGGCCGAGCCCTTTGCTGGCTCGGCTCACCCTTCGGGGTGTCGCGCGCCTGCCGCGCTCCGGCCGCCAGCAGGCTGTGGCCGCGAGCGGGCGCTGCCTTCGATCTGCACGGACGCCTAACGCCTGGCGCGGGGTGGGGACTGGTCAGCTGGGCGCCAGGTAAGGAAACGGCTCCGGAGCCCTCCCTGGACCTGCCTGGCCGCCAAGCTAAGACCGTCGCCCGACACTAGGGACTGGTGAGAAGGGGGCTTCCCTGTCTCCCCGGATAGAGCACAAAAGTTTGCATTTCCATGAGCCATCCACCACAAGCCCGGAAGGCCCCCGAAATAAGCCGTATCGTTTCCTAGTATGAGCCAGCAGAGGGAGCCCTGGTAGCGCGGTGCATTAGGCATCGGGCTGTTAATCAGAAAGGTGGGCAAACCGAACCCACCAGCTGCTCCCCAGGAGGATGAGGCCATGGGCTCAGTAAAGATTGACAGCTTGCGAAGCTGTCTGCTCTGTCCAAAGGCTGTGGGTGTTGGCAGTCATTCCTAAGGACTCCTGGTGGCGCTGTGGCTACACTGCTCCGCTGCAGCTGCTCCGGTAAAGATCCACAGCCCCAGAAACTCCCGGGGTCGGTTGTGCTCCGCCCCTTGGGTGGGAACCAGCCGGAGAGCAGAGAGTGGGTTCAGCTGGGAGGAAAGACCTGCAGAGTCATAACCCTAAGGTGACACCACCTGAGTTAGGGTTGCCAGGCCCCCACCCACCTTCCTTGGGCCTCTCTCTGCAGGGGGTGGGGGGCTTGCTGCCCATCCAGTGTTCAAATTGACATCGTCCTGTTGCTGTGTTCCAGTGGGGTTTGGAACCCAGTTTCTTCTCTCGTCAAGTGCTCTCGTAGCCAGCCGATGTGGCTGTCGGGGCAGGTGGTTAGCTGGCTGGGTGTGCAGCTGGGTAGCACTTTCTGGAAACCTACTACATGCTCAGTATCGCGTCGGAACCAGGGAGGGGCCTCATCACCGGCTGGCAGGTCCGTTCCCAAACCGAAGGGGTGTGGTGTCAACCACAGGGAAGGTAGGAGGCTTTGTGCTGAGTTCTCCTTCCATTTAGCCCAGCGGGCATGTCCGGGCTGCTCGTGTCAAGAGCCGGGCAGGTAGCAGGTGGGGCCGTCCCTGATGTCCCTGTGGTGGGCTGTTCCTCAGTGGCCCCAGGTGGCAGAGCAGAACTGCCCCAGAGAGCTTCCCAGGCTGCCATGAGGCAGTGGGCTAGGCATTGGGCTGCTCACTGAACGCTCATAGGTCTGAGCCCCCCAGCCACTCTGCAGGAGAAAGAGGAGGCTGTCCAATTCTGTACAGACAGCCTCAGAAACCCCATGGGGCAGGTCCCTTCTGTCCTGTGGGGCCCCTGTGGTTAACGTGCCCCCCCACCCCCGGCCGTGGATGGGTTTGGCACACTGGGGTTCAGTCTTTATGGGAGCAAATCACCAGGTCTTTCTCCCGCAGCACCACGGGGTGAGCTGCCGACTTTAAAAGTCCCTAGGGCTTGGTGGCATTTTCGTCTATGTGTTGAGTTTCCCAGGGAGCTGACTGCCAGGTCTTTCCTGTGTGTGGGTTGGAGCTGCCAGCCAGCACTTTTGCCTCCAAGGCCACACTGCTCGCCCCACCCAGGTGGAAAGGACCAGCCTGGACACACTGGCTGACAGGATTGCAGGGGCCGGACAGAGCCTGGTGGAGACCCTGCAGGGACAGAACCCCCATTGCAAGCTGGGGGGCTGGCAGCCTTTCCAGGTTCTGCATGGGCCTTTGGAGGGAAAGGAGTGGGGTTCCTGGTGGGCTGCATGCGTGTTTCCCATCTGCAACCTGGGCCCTGCCCAGGGCAACCTGGAGAGGAGGAAATGCCGGTCTGTTGTAATCCCATGTGGGCGTGGGCAGGGCTTGGGGAGGTAGGGCGTCCCTGAGCTTATCTATCTGTGGGCACCAGGGGCAGACCTGCCGCTGGCTATCAAACAAGAGGGAGGGGAGCCGGCTTCCCCCGTGCAGCACGGAAGCCACCCTTGGGGCCCTTTGCCTGCCGTGGTGCCAGGTAGGCTGGGGAAGGGTAGGCCGTCCATGGGCCACCCGTGGGGACTGTCCGCTCTCTGAGACTCTTTGGGGAGCGCCCTTGCGCAGTACATGCTCGGGGACCCAGCGTCTCCCGGGGGCAGCTTTTGCAGGGTCTCCTCACTTCAGCCTGATGCACTTCTGCTGGCCCACCTGTCTCTTAACACACCTGCCTGCTGTTGTGGGGACGGGCTGCCATCTGGGTAGATGCACCTTGACCCTTGGTCCTTTCCCCCGCTGGCTCAGTCAGCCAGTAATGCTGCCAGTAATGCTGAGCCTTCCTACTGTGTATGGGAAGCCAGCGTGGCTGACTCCCCACTCCCCAGGACTGGCGTGTGTGAGGCACCCCAGCAGGTACCTGAAGGCCAGTAGTTCGAACTCACGACAAGGCCATCAGCTTCTGGAAAGCTGACCAGGCACCAAGACACCGGGAGCAGCTCCC